CGGTTTGATGAAACCAGGTAGCAATGATATCTGCATAAAAACTGCCTTATTAGTTGTGGCTGACTTCAGGGAAAAGGTTGTATAATTTTCTCATCATTATGAAATGCTTCCACTTTCTCTGACTGTTGCATGAGTGACCTTGATTATTGCCATATGTTCCTCTGTTTATATAATACCTTTCTACTTTGGAAAATTATATATTACTTTCAAAAAGTAAGAACTCATTTCCTTCCTTTTTTAAAATAACACTCATTGTGATAGTCAGCATTTTTGACCTTGTAGTAGTTCTTACTGTTAGTTTTCAGAAGCATTAAATTGGTTTCATTGTCGTCCAGGCACTATTGTAGAAATGATAAAACTTAATGAATACAAAGAACACCAAATTAGATAATAACAGTATCAGAGCTCTGCATTACTATTGTAACCTTAGAAAACCTTAGAAAAATTTATCCAGTAAGTTCTCCGTTCTTTTAGTCACTTCGGAATTATTTTTGACCACCTGTTAAATCATGAGAGTATATTAAATTTTTTCCCCTTCCTTTTCATTTCCTTTTTTTAAGTCACTGTTTTAATAGCCATCTTACCATCATTCTTTTACAGTTTATAGTTTTCTGCTTAAATTGTAGATCTGATTATGCCATTCCTCTATTCAAACAGTCCTGATAAATCTCCATCCTATAAGAGAGTTCAGTTACTTGTGTATGTTTGTGTGCTCACCATATTATAAACTCCTTAATTTACTCATCTTCATATCTTCCTTGCTACTTTATTGCAGTGCCATGCATATAATCAATGTGCAACAAATATTTGCTGAGTTGAATTGCTTATTTATTTATCCCCCCCATCCCGCTTGCCCCTCACCCCAAGTTGGATCTTGTCTTTGGAATTGTATGCTTTAAATTGTGATTCTTTCACTTAATTTATATGTGGGTTCTCTTATTTATATGTGAAAATATAAATCTTACAGCTCTTCTGTCTACATAGTCATTCACCTTTATCTGTGTACCTGCCATGTGTATAATCTTTCTTACTGTTAGCAGAAATCAGTGTTATATCAGTGTTAAGCAAAATGCTTGTGAAGATTAAAAACTAAAACAAGTATTCTATATAAAAAAGAAAACTAGTAACTCTTGATTAAATGGTTTTGTGGTACATTTTTGGACAGCCCTGCTGGCTCAGCTTTCTTTTACATCACAAATTTAAGTGATCTGGTTAGGATATACATATATAAAATGATATATGTAGGGCTTGCTAAAGTTCTTAGCAAGTTAAATTTTCTAATTTTTCCATATCCAAAAAAGATACTTTTTAACTTAATAATCACAAAATATTTTCATTTGAATATAAAGTGTGTGTGCATTCTCAGTTATGTCTAACTCTTTGTGACCCCATGGATGGTAGCCCACCAGGCTCCTCCGTCCATGGGATTCTCCAGGTAAGAACACTGGAGTGGGCTGCCATTTCCTTCTCCAGGGGATCTTCCCGACCCACAGACTGAACCCAGGTCTCTTGCAATGCAAGTAGATTACCATCTGAGCCACCAGGGAAGCCCTTGAATATAAAATACCAAAGCATTAAACTCTAATTATAAAATGGAGCTTACAAAGCATCTGTGCTTCTGAAAGAAAGGAAATATCAGCAGTGAGATGAACAATAAGACTATTAAGGTCATTCAGGCAAGTGGTATTGAGAACTCAAACTAAGGTAGAGAAAAAAGAAATGAATAGTATCTGGGTAAACTATAAAGCAAGAATTGACAGGAATTGGTACATAGTAAGATGTCAGGAATTAGACATACTTGTTAGAGGCAAGTCAGGCAGTACTTATTTCTAGGCAGTTGCTTAATGTCACTCTCAGTATTGCCCAATATTTCCCGCCTCTGTTGCTTTGTTCAGATCATCTCATTCTGCATGTTCAGCTTGCCTAGGCTAAATCTTACCCATCCTCTAAGGTCCACCTTATATTCTGTCTATTCAAAAGTTACCTTCAGGTGCTCTCTAGGTGGGGGAAACACTAAACTTTTAATCTATATCTAATTTTTTATTATTGTTTATTACCTCAGATTTGTCTTTCTTGTGCATCTTTTCACTCTTAACTAGTGCTTTATATATGATTAAATATTTCATTTTGAATTGAGTTTTTATCTTCTTGATTCAGTATCAAGTTAGATAAACTGCTTTCCCTGTAACTTACTCTAGGTTAAAATAAAAAAAGCCTGTATTTGCCTACTGTTTTTGAAAAGCGCTTTTTTTATAATCTTTCAATGTAGACCTGCATCAGTAATGGTTTGAAAGGAAATGATCATAAGCACAAATGCTTACATTTTTAGGGTGGTAGGTACACAGGTCTCGGCCACCTCAGTTCTCGTCAACTGTATGATTTTGTTCCAGTTTCCTCCTGTACTTTACTGGTAAGTCCTTGAATTGTGAAACACAAAGGGACTGGTCCTTCTGTTCTTTGAGGTACTGACATCTAAATGGTGAAACTGTTTGCATAATGTTCCAGAATTCATTGAAGAAGTTTGTACCACAGCCATGGAAATGGTTACAGTCTATAAATCAGGGTCCTAGAAAGCAGAGCTTATGTGAGGTTTTCTTTAATCCCCCAAATTAGACAGTTCAGAGAAGCTTTTAAACAAAGTGTTTCAGCTAGTGATTACATGTGACTAGCATCTCAATGCTCTTTTAAATGAACTGTTCCTTGCTTTTTGAATGAAGAATTTATGTCCATGACTATATTTCCATGACTCTTAAAATATTGAAAACTTGTTTATTTATTTATGGTGACATATATAATTTTTTTAATGGTTTTACCTTAAGGTTTTTTTAAATAGAATAATGTTAATGTTTCAAAATCTGATCAGAGATGCCAAAAATCCTTTTCAAAATGTAAACAATTGAACTTGTCAGATTAAGTCATAAGCATAGTTTCAAATATTTGGTAATATTTTTGAGCTCATTCCAGTAAGGAAAGCAGTTGGATGATAGTGTAACACAACATTTTAGAGCATCTTCTTTATAAACATTATCATTGTTAGATTACCACACCCCTAACATTTATTGAGTCTTTACTGTGGCACTGGGCGCTACATACAGTATATCATTTAATCCTTAACAAAACAGATTGTTAGGTTTATAATTATTATATCAAATTGGGGGGGGGGGAGTTCCTCCTGAAAGTCACCCAGCTAGTCACCATGATCATCCTGGTAGTGGGAACCGCAGCCACAGCTCCACAGCGTTTGCCTGCTGGGTGAGGTATAAGTGAGACTGCATATTTCCTTAGGGCTGGAGCTCTGCTTCTCACTTTATACCCGTGCATAATGTAATGCCTGGCACGTCGTGCATGATTCATAGTAAATATTTGTTAGATTTTGCCTCTCAGAACAATAGCAATGACAGAAACCCCCAAGAGAGCAAGGCTTATTCCTTGTAGCTTACCTGAATGTATTCCAGAGATCTCACATTGGAACTCTACATTTTTTTTTTACAGAGAAATCATATTAGGTGTGGCTGGAGGGTTTATGATTTCGTTCTGAGAGTTACATGGGTCTTTGTAAACTAATCTGTGAATCTGACTACCCTTGAATAGCATGGCTTTGATGAGGAAATCCTCTTTAGGCAATTTTCAGATGGACTTTGGGAATAAAGCCTATCGGTGAGTAGGTTGGAGGTTCTGGCCATGTGAGGAATATGGTGACATGAACCTTCTCTTTGTAGCTCAGAGTCATCATTATGAGTATGAGTGATAGTTTTTAAGCCCTCCATGTATAAACATCAAGAAAGGTTGAGCTTCTTTAGGCATGTAGAGACGGGGGACCCTAATATGCCTCTTGCAGCAGCATTGTTCAAATGAAGACCTTTAGGCTTAGAAAAGCTAGGTGATCTCACGAAGTCATACAGCTGTCTCAACCAAACAGCTAACTTGTGGCAGAGACTAGGTGCGATTTTCAGCATTTAGTGCTTTCTGGCTGTGTTAAACATTCTTTCAGGCACTCTTTACATTGAATAGTTCAGATCTTCATGTAACAGCTTTAGTATTGGGTTTTGTAATATAAGTCTTTGAAAATAAAGTCCATTGTGCAATACCTAGATAGGAATTAATATAAGAATATCATTCACAGTTTGAATAACTTTTTACATGTCATTTGGTTCACACAACTCTGTGGGTAGGAAGGGCATGCTGTTATAGAGATTAAGACTTGGAAAGAAAGAGTAATGTCACCCAGCTAACAAGTTGCAGAACCAAAGTTCAAAACTAGATTTTCTCAACATAAGATTTGGAGTTGGATTCACTTAAGTGAGATGTGCGGCTAGCCTGGAAGCAAGTTGGAACAAAGACGCTTCTTAGTTGTGTGACGGTCATGTGGAGTAGATGGGCCACCGTGGGGGGAGAGGAGGAGGTTTGGGAAAAGGCCCTTATTGAACTCTAGAGTCGGGGAATAAATAGTGGGGAAAGTAAGGGCGTAGGTTTTGAGATATGACCACAGTGAGTATGCAGTGTATGAATTTTACTGAGCTGGCATGGTGGAAAGGAACTCTTCCTCAGACCCAGGTTTGAGTTCCTTTCTACTAAATAGCTGTGTGACCTTAGGCAAGCCAGTTCATCTTTCTGAGCCTTGGTGGACTCCTCCATAAAATGAGAGTAATAGGAACCCTGTGAACACTGCTCTGACTGCTCACAAGTCTTTTTTTTTTTTTTTTTGCTTCCTTCTGGGTTCTCTGTATTTTAGTATTTTTAGCAGCTACCTAGCTAAATCATGAACTAGTTACACATGTTCCTGTACTGAATACAGAAATACTAGAAGCCTCCTACCGAAGGGGCATCAGAATGACACCAGTTGCTCTGGAGCAAAGGGAATTTTTATTACCTTTTTTTGATGACAGAGTTGATCCTCAGTCCATCTCAAGTTTGGGTCTCACTTTTTTTTTCAATTGTTATCTATGAGACAGTAGTTAGTGAATTGTTATATCATTAATTAATGTTTTTATTTTTTCTAGTTGTATAAGTTTGGAGAGACAGTGTCTATCGTTTTCTGGACAGACACTTGGAGACCAGAAAGCTTCTTTGACAGAGTGAAGAAGAACAGACAAAATGGCACGCACACTTTGTGCCTACTAGGTAAGTGCTCTGCAGTTTCACTAGGGTCACAGTATGGAGTTGTCCTGTTGTTCTTGTTTTGATTTTGTATGAAGGTAAAACTGTTGTGTGTGATACAGTCTAGCTACTCTGTGCATGGTGTGCCCTCCCCGATACTCTCGTGGAGAAGTGAATTTTCATTCCAAATACAACTTGTCTATTCCTGCATATGTAACACAGTTCTTGCTGCTGCCTACTTCTGCCCTATTAGATCCTCTCCAGCATTCCATCTTTTACCCATTTGTTCATTAAGAGCCCGTCCTCATCAATTTACAGCAACTCAGAAGACTTATACTGAACATTTACTCTTACCAAGTTCCATCCTATCTTTCTTGAGGTGTCCTTGAATATTGCAGTCATGATGCTATCAGAATCACAGAATTATAGATCTGAGAGAGACTCTGGAGATCAGTCTTCAATGAAATTGAGGCTCAGAGACATTGGATCATTTTCCCACTGTCACCCAGCTTATTGGTTGCAGAATTGGTAGAATCTACAGAGCCTGTAATTCTCAGCTCTTTTCACTGTATTATGCTGCCAAATTGTATCTCCTACCTAGTGTGGAAAGAGTTGGGGTCCCTGTCTTTGTGTACAAAGATGATGGTACTGATTAGAGCTTCAGGAGTTTGAGCTACTGCATTTACCAGCAGAGGTACTGGAATTATACTGATTCACATTCACTGTCAGTTCCTTCTCTACAGTATGTGTTGTAAAAATCCTGTAATCAGAGCTTTCATCTGTGGCTGGTCAACAGAAGAGAAGCAACTGTCATCTTGATAACTTTGAAGTGACACTTCTGCTTGACATCAGAAGACAAAATCTGAGTGCTACTCTGTACTAGCTAGAGAGTATTTTGAACAGTCCATACCTTTGCCTTCTTTTTTATCAAATAGGAATAACCTTTTTCTTGTCTTTTGGAAGTGTTTAGATCAGTATATATGTGTGTATGTGTATGCACATACACATATATAAAATAAATATACATAAAAATAAATACATTCATTTACTTTAAAGTTTCTAGTCTTTTGTGTTGAAGTCAAATTACTATGTTTGTAAACACTGATTCACACTCTTGTAGTTTGTTTTTTTTTTATCATTTGTTGGGAACAAAATGCTCACGTATTGGCGTCAGTCCCTGGGTCATACGCTGAGTTGCACTGTTTTGGTTCCACTTTGTGTGAAGTTATCCATAGAAGAATGTCTGCCACGTAGCACAGGATCAGGGCAAAGAAAGAACCCCTGATTTTGACCTCTGTAGTAAGTATAGAGATTCAGAACATTAGAAGAGATTCCTATTTGCCAGAGACATTTAGGTTGTCTCATGTACAAAGTTCTCTATTATTCAATAATATATAATTTGTACATTATCAGAACCCCAATAAATATGTCTCTTTTAAAAGAGAAGACTGTAGAAAAGTTTTACTAATGGTTAGCATTTCTTAAAAGGTAGAATTTGGAAATTATGTAGAACAGAGGTTAGCAAACTAGCACTGCTGGATCGAATCTAGGCTACCACCTGTTTCATAAAGTTTAATTGGAACACAGCCACGCTACTTCATTTATGTATTATCTGTGTCTGTTTCATGCTATAATGGCAGAAATAAGTAGTTTTTGACAGAGACCTTGTGGCCTTCAGAACTTAAAATATTTACTACCTGGTTCTTTACAGAAACGTTTAATGACTCCTGATTTAAAGTAAAATTCTACCTAATTTAATGTACACCCTGTATTCCCCAGTGATTATCTTTCCCATTACCTTGTGTAACTTCTTGTCTTACCATTCTTCTGAATTGTTACATTAACTTGTTGGTTTTCTTCTTTACTTCATAAGAGCAGGGACTTTGTCATGCTGATTCCTCTCTTTCCAATGTCTAGAAGTGTAGCACAGTGTAGCTGTCCAACAGATATGTAATAGAAGTTAATTGGTTGAAGTTTACTTTTAGTTTCAGACTTAATCTTATTTACCCATTGGCACAGAAAATCTTTAACTCTTGCTAGTTCATTCAGTTCCAGCTAGATTACATTTCTTTTTTACTCCAGTAAGAGTGACACCTAATTAGTTCTAGATCTAGATCAGGCCATGCATGCTTCTCTGGTATTTTTTTGGCTTATGCCTGAATCCCACAATTTACTGGTGTGATAGTGCTTTCTTATTTTAGTTAATTATCAGGGTAATTTAGTAATTCATTATTAGCTAATTAGCTTTATAGTTTTGTGTTTGGATTTTCCATGTGGAAAGATACTAGTCTCCCTCTTTATTATTTTATGGTTCTTGTTAATTCATGTGGAATATGCCACTAAAGGTATCCATCATGTTATATAAACTTAGAGCCAATTAAGGCCAGCGGTATGTAGAAAGTCAAAGGAGAATGATGCAAGAGGTACAAGCATTTAAAAAAGCTTATTAAAGGCAGAGGTAGAAATATATGCAACTGAGGGATAAAAAATAAGGATTCATTGGAGCTCAGATATGAAGTAAGTGTGTGTGTGTGTGTGTGTGTGTGTGTGTGTTTAAACAACAGAACTGAGAAGTTTTTAATACAGAATGGGGATAAAAGTGGTCTTAAGAGGCAAGCTACCTGTGATAACATCTTCATGTATCATGAAAAAAATGGAGGAGAGGGGGAACAATTGGAATTATCTTTTGGAAGCTTTGAAAGGGCAGTTAGAAATTCAGCTCACAGTATTTATTAAGTATTTATGCCCATTGTGGAGCTAGGTTCTTCTGGAATACTAAGGAGGTATTAGACCTGGGTCCTGCTCTCAGGATTTTGGAATCTTGTTGGAACTACTGTGCTGTGTACCTGAAAGCTGAGAGAACAATTGAGTTCTATTGTATGCAGAGGCAGGAAGGACAACCCAGAGCTTTGGCTCTTGAACTTTCTCTAAGAGCTGCTGCCTCTTTTCTTGGCTTTCCTGGGAAAAGACAAACAAGGTTAAACAATATATCTTCCTTGCTCCATTAACAAAAACAGGAACAAGGTGTGAAGTATAAGATATCATGACTCTGACTTCGCAAACCATAGATCTCATCATTTAATCACCTGGAGTTCTCATTATTTTTAATTAGTATGTATTTATTGAACGTCTGCTCTTATGGGCTATACCCTGTAAGGATTAATGAGACTATGTCATGGTAAGAAACCATAGAGAACTTAAAATTTACTTGGAAAGGCAAGACTGATACATATGATGTAACTGGAGATTAACAAAATATAGCATTAATCGTATAGCTATCTCAAAGGACAAAGAGCCTGTGGGAGAAAGTCTGTAAAGGCTTTCTGAAGGAGTGTGGCCTTTTACTCTACTCAAGAGGTAGATAGTTTAAGTTGAGCTGTCATAGTAGAGCCACATGAACAAATTTATTCAGTAGAATTTATGGTGTATCTGCTAGGTACTTTGCATTATGCTAGGTGCTGGTACTAAAATGAATAGAAGAAGCTTACATTCTAGAAAGTAGAAAAGAATAAATATGGCCTGTGTAAATACAAGGTAAGATGAGTCTGGCTTGAATTTATTCACTAATACAGACTTACATTTAGTGAAGAAGCATTTGCCCATAAAAATTCTCCCCAGCCCTCTTCATTTTTAAAATGAAATTCTATAGAACATATCATTTAAAAAGTGAAAAAATTGAAAATATTAAAAGCTTAACTATCACAAATAACATTTCAGAAACTCAAGGTGAATGCATTAATAAATGTTTACTTTTTAAAAATGATTACAACTATTAGGTAAAGGAGATCTAAGTTGACGTTTATATCATTAATTGTATTCAGGCCATATTTCAATAACAGGTGTACATATTTCCTATATGTGCCATACAATGAAAATACCTAAATAATGAATTTCAAACCTGAAAAATATATTCATTGCTGGTTCTAAGAACATTTAGACATATATGTAAGGGATTGTCTCTAGAGCATTTTCCAAGCAAATGCTTAGTATCCTTTGTAAGAAAAACTTTTATAAAGTTTATAATCACTTGAGAAAGTTGTTGAAGCCTATCAAAAAGACCACTCAGTTACACTGTATTTATTTTTGCAGAAACAAACTTTGGCCTAACCATTTGTTTTTAGCATGTAGAGCAGGAAGCAGCTGTTGCTCTTGCTGTTGTGTACTGAGTTCCTGTGAGGATGTAGAGTGATTCTACTTTTTTACCTTCTACCAGATTGTTTAGCTGAGCATCAGTGATTACAAAGCATAAAGAATCAAATCTTTGTGATGCTTGCATCATCAAGCTTTATAAGAACAAGGGCTATATGTGTTTTGGCTGTTGTGGCTACCAGTCCGTGCTTGGGAAATCCCCAATAAAGTATGAATATTTGGTATTAAAATGTTTCATAAGTTACTGGCATGTCTTACCATTCACACAAAAGTGAAAGTCTCTTCAACATGTGGTAAGAATTTTCTTATATTTGCATTACATGCATTGAAATGTATATTCTAGTGCCTGAAAAATAGGTAAGAATAGGAACATAACAAGAACTTTCCAGTTGGGTCTGTGCAGTTACCAGCTAATAGAAATGAACACAAAAGATTTTGATTAGCTGTTAGAGAGTGTATATGCCAATATTTATCTAACTCTTTCCTGTGTCTTCTTTTCCAAGAGGAAATTCAATCCGTTCAGGATGGTCTCAGGGCCAACCTCATGTTTGTTTTCTAACTAATGATCTTTATACAACCACAAGCTTCCATTCTTTATATTTCCTTAAAAATGTGGCCAGATACAAGTGTGAGGGAAAATTGTCACAAACTCTCAAATTAGCATTTTAGAGACTTGAGAATAATATTTACCAAAAATTTAGGTGTTTCAGTTGAAGTCTACATGTAGGATTTTGGGTAAAATACTTAATTAAAAGAGAACTATCTTTTTTTGCTTCCTACAGATATCAAAGTAAAGGAACAGTCTGTGGAAAATCTAATCAGGTAAGTTCATGTTCTGAGAATGCTTAATTCTATTTTAATTCCATGGACTATAAATTCTACTTAAATGACATAAGTTCTAAAGATTGTTGAAAATCAGTTTTCAGTAACAGTGCAAAATTTAACACTTTCAATCTTATGACATGTTAAGCAGTATGAGAGAATGGAAATAGCAGTAAATTTCAGGGCTCAGTGTTGAGAACAGTGGTTGGCACCTAATAGGCACTCAGTAAATATGTGTGGAATGAGTTAATTGAGAGTCAGAAAACATGGGTTTGAGTCATGAGTCGGACTCTGGTTATGTGCTCTTGGGAAAGTTACTTCCATTTCTGAGCCGTATTGTCTTCAACTGTATATTGGGGGAAAGAACCCCTTTTTACTTACAGATGCAGTATCCCATACAGTAGCCGCTACCCACATATAACTAATGAGAGCTTTAAATACATGTAACTAATGTAATGAGGAATGGAATCTATAATTTAGTTTTAATTAATGTAAAACTAATACTCAACTAAGTAACTAGATAGCATTTAAGTATATTTAGAACAATTCAACATGTAAATCTACTTTTACAACCATGAATTTTATGAAATTTTATGACCTAAATACAGATCAAGTATTTCCAGTGAAAATTTAACATTTGAATTAAGATGTGCTAAAATATAGAATACATTCCAGATTTCAAAAACTTAGTACAAAAATGATGTATAATAATTTTTATAGGAATAAATGTTGAAATATAACATTCTGGATATATTGGGCTAAATAAATACATTATTAAAATTAATTTTGTCTCTTTTTTTAAACTTTTGTTATTGTGGATACTATTGAAAATTTTAAATTACATTTATGGCTTGCATTATATTTCTGTTAGGGCTGAGTTATAGAATTGTTTGTAGAGTCAACAAAATATATGAATTTTTTTGTAAACTGCAAAAGCAATATTTTTGTTTTGACCATTGAGCACATTTGATAGGCTTTTGAGGCATATGGAAGTAAACATATCTTATCCTCCAAGACTTTGAGATATTTATTGCTGTAGTTTACTTTTCTTAGAGGAAGATATGAAAAGAGGAATGCGTGGTTTAAACATGGTAATAAAAATGAACCCTATAAAATCTGATTAGAGTATAGAACAAATTTCCACTTATTTTGAATTATTTTTCCCTAAAGTACCACTTTGAATAAGAGTAACTTTGATTTAAGCATTTATCTTTAAGTTGTTGGACTTATTTCTGCCAACATTTCAGTGAGATGAGAGAGCATTTGAAATAGGACAATGAAGAAAGCTTAAGAAACTAAAGGTAAATGATATACTTAAAGTGAGTAACAAGTGGCAGCTTCAAACAGAACATAGAATATGGTAATTGAATATACCTGGGGGAATAATTACATTAAAAATGTATTATGTAATTTCATGGCTAAGAACAGTGGCATCTAGTTTTACACTTACAGGGGAAGAAAGATCTATGAACCTCCTCGGTATATGAGTGTCAACCAAGCAGCCCAGCAACTTCTGGAGGTTGTTCAGAATCAGCGAATACGAGGAGAAGAACCAGGTACTCAGGAATCTTAAAAGGGCTCTCATATTCCCCTCATGCTGCAGTGAGATGAGTATGTAACATCTGAAAAACACGCATGCATTACCAACACCACTAAAGTGAGAGCCAGTGTGTTTGCATTCATTTCTTTCTTATCATTTTTTTCATCTTTCCCTTAAATTTCATAGGCTGAAAGTTCTACTGAAAGAAAAGTAATGGATTTCTTTCTAGTAATATTAATATCATTCTAGAAATAAAGGATTTTTTTTTTTTTACAAATTAACTATAAATCAGATTTTATGTAAATAGGTTAGTATAAATATTTTGGTGAAATACAGAACCTCCATTTTAGCCCAAGTCTATAGTGAGCTCTATCCTGCGAAAGTATACTTATTCTGCTTTTTCTCATTCTCAACGCTGAGACCAGGTATAGTTGTTTTTTCAGGATAAAGACAAGAGAATTTACCTTTGCATTCTTAATGTCTAGACACAGTAGATATGCTATATAATAAAATGTTCATTGTCAATAGATTTTTATTGAGAGGTTCTTAAATAAATCTGTCATTATATTCTGTTACAAGGTGCTGACTGGCTTTGAACACATATTTCTTAATAGAAAAGATACACAAAGAGATTCTTTAATAACCACTGGCCTCAGTAGGCCTTGTTAAATCATGAAACAAATAACCTGCAGGGGTGCTGTATACCCATACCTTTGTACAGAGTTCCTTACATTCCTGCTTGTCCTTGGAGAAATCATTTGCCCCATTTTGGTCATTTTTCAATCAGGACAGTTTTTCCAACTAAAGAAAATCACAAGAGGGTCTGCTGAAGAGCAGACATATTGGAATGAATAATGACGTTCACCAGTGTATGTTATTTCAAACTTAAAAGCATCAGTAATGTCATAATGCCTATTATTTCTTCAGGGCTGTGTAGTTTACTAAGTACTTTCATATCTATTATCTTAGTCCTTAAACCACCATTTATAAAGGCTAGTTTTCCCATAAAAAAGAAGAAACTGAAGGTTTGTCATATAGCTGAGTGGTCAAGCACAGACTCAAATCTATGTATTTATCTTAGATTAATCTTAAAAATCTTATCTTATCTTAAAAATCTTCTGGTTTTTCCAGTATATCTTGATCAATGTGAGGATATCTCAAACATTTTATTTACAGTATAAGCATGTAATAAACACTGTCCACTCAGAACCTAGTTAAAGACAAATGCTATGTGATAGAGTATGCATACAGGTAATTATTCATCAAATCCTAAAAATTTAAACTAAAGTAAGCCTTTGGAATTCTGAAATGGTAAAGTTAGGAAGTACAACTTTACTTTAAATGTTAGGTAGTGCAAATAATTTAGAAAAGCCTTAGATAAATCAGCAGATAGTATGTCTATAATGAGTGACTAAAGGGTATTTAATATAATTGGGATTTATTTGGGACTTCTTTAAATGTATTTTTGGTACTAGTGTTAGTTTGAGTGGATTCAGGATAATGCATTTACTGAATTGAATGGTGGCATCTTTGTTTTTCTTTTAATAGCAGTCACCGAGGAGACACTCTGTGTTGGCTTAGCCAGGGTTGGAGCTGAGGACCAGAAAATTGCAGCAGGCACTTTGCGGCAGATGTCTACTGTGGACTTGGGAGGACCATTGCATTCCTTGATTATCACAGGAGGCAGCTTGCATCCACTGGAGATGGAGATGCTAAGTCTGTTTACCATACCAGAAAATAGCTCAGAATCCCAAAGCACTGGTGGACTCTGAATACAGGCATTTTCTATTGCGAGATGTTAATTTCAGTCATATATACACATACACGTATTTGTGTAACAAATCAAACAGGTCTTTTGGTTTACCTAATAAATATAAATTGAGTGACCAAGAAGAAAGATATTCCAACAGCACTTGGTTTCCTGTGTCAATGAGTTTTTACCCTGTGATATCATTGGTTGTTGCTGCTATTTTGGCAGTTTTTCAGGGTGAACATACATGGAACAGACCAAACTGGAGAACTTACAGCTAGATATCCATAGACAGAATCATTTAAAAGCAATGTCTGTTTATGAAATCAGTTTATACAAGATAGAACGTTCTTCTTTCTTAAAAAGTCTGATGTCCTGACTGCGAGATACATTGTCCTGACAGCACATGGTATTCATGCATATAAACAGGGATGAGAAGAATATGTCACCAGCCAACAGTCCCACCTACTTAGGGCTCAGCTAAGCATGTGCCACAGAATGACATCCTTTTGCATTGCCTTGTCTTGTTTAGCTGACATCCTAATTATGTGCCTCATATTCTGCTGTATTTTGGAGGTTATATAATTGTTGAATTATAAATGTTCAGCCAGCCATGTACAGTTGCTGTTTGGTTTTAAATAGCATCTTTCACATCCAAGCTGAAAAATGGAAAATTTGCTGACTACAAAATAAAATTTTTAAAAATTTAAGCTTGAAGACAATAGATTGGTCAAGATTTGTCATATCACTTAATAGTTAATATGCCTCCATATGTATGCGAGTAGCCACATTCTTCTTCCTAGTTGTAAATCACACTCCATTTATTATGTTTCATGACTATGAAGTCTTATACTTTTTGTCAGTTCATAATGGAAATAGCATTGCTCCATGGTAGTTTAGTTGGTCTAACTCTGATTTCAGTTGACCCTTGAACAACACAGGTTTGAACTGTGTGGGTCCACAAAATACATACTCAGTACTGCACAGTCTGGTTGGTTGAATCTGCAATTGGTTGAATCCAGGGATATGGAACCATGGATGTTTTCAACTGCATGAAAGGGTCAGTTGCCCTAACCCCTATATTGTTCAATTTCAGTCAACTGTGTTTCCATGGCCTAATCAGTTTATCTGACTTCTTTGCTCAGTAGATTCACTGGAAGTTGAGCAAGTACTTCCCTACTTTCTGGGAGCAACAATTAATAGGAGATTATTTTGAGTTATTTCATTTGAGATAAAAGATATCTTAATATATGTAAAACATTCTACTTTCAATCTGTCAGATGCAAAATAAGAGAGAGCCAAGGACATTTAAGTAACAGTTCTCTATTTTTTTTTCTAAGGCATTAAACAGTGAAGAATTATAAAATGAAGGCCTTCTGGTTTGGGTAGTGGTGGAGTAGCTTGTAACGTACAAACTCTCCCAATGATAAACTCTGGGAAAATATAATAAATAACTGTCTAAAGGCACCAAGGAGTGGCCAGAAGTAGTAAAAGAACTATAGTACATGACTTTTCCCTCAGGGCATTTACCAGTCCGTCTAGTGAGTGGGCAGCTAGAATGGAAGAGAAAGTTGTAGTCTTACTGACTTGAGCTGTTGGAATTGGCTGATGCTGGAGGAGCTGTAAACTGAAGGAGGAAATTCTGGAAATGAAGGTGGCACTGAGGGAGGAGACCCAGTCTGCACGTGATTTCCTCTTAAATCTTTGGCTAACTCTGGCATTGTGCATGTGCAGGGAAGACTCCAGTGAATCTGGTGGAAAGCTATAGCTGGGAGGCTGAAAAAGCTGAGCAGAGATCGTTGCTCTCTGTTGCAAGAGAACTCAAGAGTTTGAATCCCAACAAGTTAGAAAGCTTGTACCTTAGACTTTGCATCAAATCCCTAGAATGGTTGTATATTAGCCGTAAAGGCTGTGCCTAGGGCTAAGAATTTGTGCTAAAACTAAAGACAGAATCTTTAACATAATGTGAAATCAATCCTCCATAAAATCAAGGTGACTAGCCAATAATTACCTGCCTACTAGAATAAAGCTTATCACTTCCAGAGCATGATAACAAAATGAATCAATCTATCAACAATGCCTCAAATGCTATAAAATATGAGGCATGCAATGAAATAGGAAAATATGACGTAAGGTCAAAAAGAGAAAAACACACAGTAAAAAGAGATCCTACCAACCCAGATATTGGAATTAGCCAACAAGGATGTCAAAGCAGCTCAGAACTGTGTTCAAGGATGAAAAGGAAAAGTGGTTGTAGTGAATTAATGTAAATTAATTACTCTTAGCAGAGTAATGGAAACGAACAGAAAACCCCAAATGGTTGAAGTTAACAACAGAGTGCAGATGATGGATAGAAATCTGAGGAAAAGAGGTTGGAGGGAAGAATAAAAGAGCACAGAGCCTCAATGCCATGTGGGGCAGTATCAAGCAGTTCAACATATATGTGACTGGGTCCCCAGAAGCAGAACAGAAAACAAATAGGACAGAAAAATACAAATAAAACAATCTTCATGAAAGCAGAATTAGTCACCAGCAGACCCACACTACAAGGAAAGCTGAGGGGAGTGTTTTGGATTGAAGGGAGGCCCCAGCCCCTCCGCGCTGGTGTCTGGGAGAGCCGGTGTGAGATGAAGAGACAATCCTTCCCAGCCGTCGGGATAATCAAAGAGTTTTGGCTGGACCTTCGAGCACACACCGAGATAGTGAGGAGCCAGACGAAAAGCAGACTATGGTGCTGAAACGGATTAATAAGGAACTTAGTGATTTGGCCCGTGACCCTCCAGCACGATGTTCTGCAGGTCCAGTTGAGAATGATATGTTTCATTGGCAAGCCACAATTATGGGACCTAATGACAGCCCATATCAAGGCGGTGTATTCTTTTTGACAATTCATTTTCCTACGGGCTACCCCTTCAAACCACCTAAGGTTGCATTTACAACAAGAATTTATCACCCAAATATTAACAGTAATGGCAGCATTTGTCTCGATATTCTAAGATCATGGTGGTCTCCTGCTTTAACTGTTTCTAAAGTTCTTTTATCCATTTGTTCACTGCTATGTGATCCAAACCCAGATGATCCCCTAGTGCCAGAGATTGACAGATCTATAAAACAGACAGAGATAAGTACAACAGAATATTTCGTGAATGGACTCAGAAGTATGCCATGTGATGCTACCTTAAAGTCAGAATAACCTGCATTATAGCTGGAATAAACTTTAAATTACTGTTCCTTTTTTGATTTTCTTATCCGGCTGCTCCCCTATCAGACCTCATCTTTTTTAATTTTATTTTTTGTTTACCTCCCTCCATTCATTCACATGCTCATCTGAGAAGGCTTAAGTTCTTCCAGCTTTGGACAATAACTGCTTTTAGGAACTGTAAAGTAGTTACAAGAGAACAGTTGCCCAAGATTCAGAATTTTTTAAAAAATGGAGCATGTGTATTATGTGGCCAATGTCTTCACTCTAACTTGGTTATGAGACTAAAACCATTCCTCACTGCTCTAACATGCTGAAGAATCATCTGAGAGGGAAGGAGGTGGATGCTGAGTTGTCACATCAAAGGAAGCAGCATTATTCTAGCAGCATCCATTCTTGTCTGAGCCTTACACTGTTAGAGATTTGAGGTTACATGATATACTTTATGCTCATAACTGATGTGGCTGGAGAATTGGTATTGAATTTATAGCATCAGCAGAACAGAAAATGTGATGTATTTTATGCATGTCAATAAAGGAATGACCTGTTCTTGTTCTACAGAGAATGGAAATTGGAAGTCAAACACCCTTTGTATTCCAAAATAGGGTCTCAAAACATTTTGTAATTTTCCTTTAAATTGTTAGGAGGCTTGGAGCTATTAGTTAATCTATCTTCCAATACACTGTTTAATATAGCACTGAATAAATGATGCAAGTTGTCAATGGATGAGTGATCAACTAATAGCTCTGCTAGTAATTGATTTATTTTTCTTCAATAAAGTTGCATAAACCAAAAAAAAAAAAGAAGGTAAATGACATCAGCTGAAAGGAAGGAAATAATAAATATGTAAGTGTAAGTGACTATCAGGTTTTCTTTGCTTTATGTTTTTAAAAGCTATTGGGCTTCCCTGATAGCTCAGCTGGTAAAGAACCTGTCTGCGGTGCAGGAGATCCCGGTTCGATTCCTGGCTTGGGAAGATCCAGAATTCTTGGGCTTCCCTGGTGGTTCAGCTGGTAAAGAATCCGCCTGCAATGCGGGAGTCCTGGGTTCGATCCCTGGATTGGGTAGATCCCCTGGAGAAGGGAATGGCTACCCACTCCAGTATCCTGGCCTGGAGGATTCCGTGGACTGTATAGTCCGTGGGATTGCAAAGAGTAGGACACAATGAGCAACTTTCACTTTTAAAAGACAGCTGACTATTTAACGTAGCATTGTGGCTTGTGTTTAGCTATAAAATATGTGCAAACAATAACGCATGTTGCAAGGGGACGGGAATTATACAGTTACAGGATTATTACATTTTATTTGAAGTAGTAGAATAATAACCGTAGGTAGACAGTGTTAAGGATATGTATTGTAATCCTTTGGCAACTACTACAAACACACACACACACACACACACACACTTGGCAGAAGTTAAAAAAAATGAGAGGAATTAAAATTGAATACTGGAAGACATATAATGAACCAAAAGAGGACAGGAAAGGAGGAAATAAATATTAAAAAACATAGAACAAAGAACAAATAGTGAAATGGAAGACTTAAATCCAGCCAAACCAATAATTGCTTATTGGTGTCACAGTTGTAAACTAAGTAGTCCAACTAAAAGGACTAGATTTTTTTCAAAGGCTCAACTAAATTTTGTCTAGACTCTGGATGAAAGTAGAATAGGGAAAAAATAAACAATACAAACAGTAAGCATAAGAAAACAAGTGGCTGTATTAGTATAAGACAAAATAGACTTAAAAAGAAGGAGTATACTGGAGATACACTTTTTTTTAATTAATTTATTTATTTTTTTTATTAGTTGGAGGCCAATCACT